ACTTGTACATATTTTATGTATAGTATATATGGTGTACATTATTATACTTTATAATGTATTACAGAATACTAGTATTAACCTAATATACTCAAGTACAGTATTTCAGTACAGTAAAGAGCTTATACATGTACATATAGTGTGTATATAGTATGGTATAATTGTGATATACTTGTTTTGACCATATGAAAATTATTTTGATTGTAGACAGCTCACAGAGTTGCATCATGTGACTTATGTCAAATTTCAGTTTCTATGAGTTATCTACAAATAAGAAGGTGTCCTTGTCATGCATTTAGGATAGATTAAAGCATAGGTATATATATTCAATATAATTTTGCCTTATTTGGTAATATTTACAGCATCACTCCTCAGGTATCCTTGGGATACCTGAGGTTTGCCCAGGATATTGGCATTTCCTAGGTTACCTGAGGTTCACCCAGGTTGCACAAGTCACCTAGGTCACCCAGGTCCCTCAGGTTGCTCCAGGTTGCCTCCTAGGTAACCTGAGGCTCAGACCATTTTTCCTGATGTCAGAAAGACATTTGTATATGATGTCTTTAATCTGAGCCTCACACTGGTGGTAAGTGTCAATTTGGTCTTTGAGTTTCTCCAAGTCAGTATCAGTTAGGGGTACAGCAGTACTAGAACTGCTGGTGTACCACTTCCCATTGTGCTCCACCAGTTCAGTAGGTTTAGTTACTTGTCCAACAATGTGTCATCGAAGTCCAGGCTTGCTAACAATATTGGTGTAGACCTTCTCCTTCCAACTATGCCAGTTGGAGCTGTTGTCAATGAGTTTAGAGAGGATGTTGAATTTGTAAGAGTTTTTGGTCATTGTTATGGCAGGGCCTATAACCTGTTGAGTGCAGGATTACAGTAGGACTTAGGGAGCATGTTGACGAGCTAGAATAATAAAGATGTTATATAAACAAAGGTATACGGTGATAATGAATGTAGATACCTAGAATAATAAAGATGTTATATACTAGGTAAGTTAGTAGTGTGCCCAGTATATGCTATATATAAGTATGGACTCACAATGAAGGTGGTAGCCTTGCATAGGTAGAATAGATAAGGAACATAGTGGGTAAAGAGAAGAAAGGAAAAAGGGAATCTGACTCATAACTAGAGATTGGAAATGTATTACTAATCAAGTACTATATATGGGAAATATGTAGAAAGGCTGTTAGGGGTGTAGAACAGTGTCTACCTTAACACTATCAAACTGCTAATACCAGCTTATCATTTATAAAATCCATGTCCTGGGCTGTGTTCAGCAGGTATATGGATAATGGTTCACACTGCTCAATTCATTGGTTCAGTGCAGTGAATGAAAGCTGCATTACAAATGCATCATTTGCCTGCATAGCCGGCCGCAAAAACAATGATCAAAGCCAAAAGTTCAAAATTTTCAAGTTCAACACTCAAGATGATGCATAATTGAGGCCGTTTCAAGTTCAGTTCAGAGGTTGTTGGACTATCCAAGGCAAAACCCCTGAGACTTGTCCAACAACATTCATTGTAAAACGTACTGTATGGTACATACACATACAACTTGAAGGTCATCCTATTTCATACATAGGTTGGTATTGTACACTTGCGGCCTGGTAGTTCAGTGGTTAGAGCACCAGTACTGAAAATCTGGAGGTCCCAGGTTCAATCCCTGGCCAGTTCATTCTACTTCCTGGGTTACAAGATCATACAGTGACTTCTAGTAGAGGTCCCAATGAGGCATACCTGAACATCCTCTCTGAATGATACAATACTCTATCTTCTATGCAACAGCACCACTCCTTCTGCTAACTTAGGATATTCATACATGTTTTAAACATCACCCGGCTACAGCTTGACAAATGTAACAACTTTTTCTAAGAAAAGTGTTGGAATAAGTGCCTGAACTTTGGTACAATAGCCAAAATCCCTAGCAAAGCTTAAATATGCAGGGAATAAATTTGAGAATACAGAATGGTACATACTACTTCCACTACTGTTACGCAGCTGTACCATTATCCCTCAGTAAAATAACAAATATATCACTTTAACACTTAGAGAACATCAAACTCTGAAACCTATAGAAGCAAAAGGTAACGACGGCGCGCGCTCCGATTGCTAACACTTATCGGAGACTAGAACAGCAAATGCTATAGGATCCGGAAACACAGTGCAAATTTACTTACTCAGCTTTCATCTAGCTGGCCTAGGTAATAACACGTCAATCAGCCCTGTATCACTATGTCATCGCTATCCCGGGCATTGAGGCTGAACTTGAGCCGGTGGCTCTGTTAGACTCACCGCAGTGGGTCTTCGCATCGTTGCATCCAAGATCTGACAGATTTTCTCGCATTGCGGTAAATTTACCGATACCGATACTGTATCTTTTCGACCGCAAATTGATGGGGTGCTACGCGTTACGCTCTGAATTTGTCTGAACACAACTTTATTTTCTTTCGTGGCATGGCCGAAAAATCACCATATAAGGTAGGAGCTGTCAAAAAAATTGCCCTACATGAATTTATGGTCGTAAAGATACAGCAGTTTCTGTGGACAAATGAAATCTGTTACGGTTGTTAGTCGCGGTCATCCGGCATCAAAATACTCATTAAACTGCTGCTAACACGGGACGCAAAAGCCATGGCAGTACTCCAGCAGTACTCCGGCAGTACTCTATGCACATGACCTTGTGAACTCAATTACTTTTCTTTTCTTTGCGTATATCCAGTATCTACTTGATTTCCTAGTCACGTTGCTTATTTTAAGTAGGAGACAGTTAAAAGCTCTCTATAGCATCAAAAAGGTTTTTGCAATAGCTCAAAATGTCTGCCGTTGACTTACCAGGAGCCCACCAAGTCAGTGCGTTCAGTGAATTTGCTATTTACGCAAAAGAGCCCGATTGAATTGAGTTCGGTCATAAGTCAAGTTATGCTCGGCATGCACCGGCACAAGGTGTACTGCCGTGGGTATGCCAGATGTACTGCCATGGCTCTTGCGTCCCGTGTAAGTACCAAACTAAGATTATTAATTTTCATCCAACACATTGTTTATTCTTGTAGTTGAAATCTCCCACCGCTCTCTATTCTATATTGGTTTCTGCAACTCAGCAATGGTCGAGTCCCATTTGTGGAGTGCAGTGCTTCCATGAAGTTTTCTCGGGAGAAAGAATGATCGAGATAGCACCTTGGAAACCGTTGCACCTTAAGAACTATTGCACCGCCACTACACCAGTTGGCCTACCGTTTTTCCAGTCTATTGAGCATGGCTTGGAGTCACTGGGAATATATAAAGAAATTCGAGAGGGAAGACTTATTTCATTTCTTCAGCTTTCCGTGGCACGAATCATATCGGTCGTTTACTGTTTAGTTTCTCCTTTTTCTTCATTTCATTATTGCTGGCCGGTAAGTTAAGTTTCATTGCATTCAACAAGTAAAATCACAACTTCGGCCCCTTCTCTTGCTATTCCTTTCGAGAACCATTGCTTACCAACAAACTTGAACTCTTGTTACATTATAGTGCCATCCTTGCTTCCAACTCACTCCATCCATTCCTTCCTGACCCTCCAAGCTCTGTCTAACCATGCATTTTTTCATCGTCATCTCGGCCCTCCTCTTTTCGAGTGTCGTCGCGGCTCCGATTGCTTTGCCCAAGTAAGTCTCTCCAAAAATCCTTTGTTTTGCCGACTTAGACTGTTAATACAGCGAAGCAAGATTGCGACCGGCACGCGATATTAATGTGGCCGAGGATATTGTTGCTCGTACAGTTGCCGTGGCGGGGGTCATGGACAACTGGTTCTAAGGTCTTGATTCCGGCCCTTACACCAGAACCACCAGAACTTTAAGAATTTGCATAAAAGTCATAAATCACATACCATAGCGCCTCATAATGTGCATTGGGGTGTCGTGAATAATTCCCGGCCCTGTTAATAACATTGTTATTAACGACAATCCCCCGGAGGACCATTCTTAACCTAGTTAATACATTTATGTGAAAAAGATAATTAACAAGTGAAAAATTGATATTTTAACATGTTATTAACAAAAGTGCAAGTGAATAAATAATTACCCTACCTGACATCGAAAATGGGGGCTGCGAAATCCTTCCAAAATCTGACCGCTACTGCATCAAAATTTGTGCCATATCACCCATCTCTTGGTTGCATAAAGAATAAGTACTCAAACATTAACTTGCTTTATGAAAGTGAATATCTATTGATTGAATCTGGTTAACCGGGGCCATACCTTCCAGAACTTCAAAGCAAGTAGTAAACTTAACGGTAACTTCCACCTCCCTCAATTGGGGTCCCAATCCTCTGATCTGCTGTGTGGTAGAAATTTCAAGAGAAGAAATCTGAAAGCATCTCGAGGTCCTCTGTTGTATTGCCCACTGAGTATTTGGCATGGAGATAACGCACCAACGGATGATGAGAGACTCAAAAAACTTAATTTCGTTTGCATCATGGTAAAACCACCACATCTCTTAGAAATTTATTCCTCCAAAAGTGAACTCGAGGTAGAGATCTTGAGTCTTCTACATGTCTTTCTTTAAAGCGTTGCAGTGAAAGGACAACGGTAAAATGGGACGACAGACATATATCGACCTTCACGTGCCTGTGTGGTGTGGAGTCATGGCGCGCGAAGGAGGGTGGCTTTCATATACCGATCCACTCTTCCTTATCGATATGGCCGATACAAAGATAAAGTTTAGAATAACATCGCTCGCCACCGACGTCACAGCTGCAACTTTGAGCGCAAGTAACTCTTTCACTCGAACCACCACCACCATCAATCCAGTATTTCCCCATTTTACGGCCTACATTTGAAGTATGGACCATTTGTTCAATCTTGGCTCGGACAAAGGCTCAGAGGGAAGAGCTACTACGAATAGCGCCGGCTCTGAGCCTGCACTTACAGCCAGCTCCACCGGGACGCACGGCCATCATGTCCTTTCCGACAGGATTTCGTCCATGATGGGTCTCTCAGACACCCAGCAGGCGCAGAAACACGAGGTAAGATACTTCCAGTAAACTTTAGCCCCCACACTTCTCGTGAAACACTCACACGCGCACAGGAATTATCCACCAAACACGAACCCGTCGGTAGTTCCGGCGGCTTATTAGACAAAGTCTCCTCTGCACTCGGACAGATCGATGCCAAGCAACCCGCGGTACCATCTACTTCATCTCCAGCTTTGCACAGCACCGGAGCAAGCGAGCAGCTTATAGATAAGCTCACCGGAGTCTTCCACCAATATCATGAACATCAGGATCCTGGCGGTGCTACCATTGTTTCTCCACTCCAGCAACCTGCCGAACACCAACAACATAGTCGATTTATGGACAAGATCAGCGAAAAGTTCGAGAGCGACGAAGTTCGGAAGAAGAGGCTGGAGGCGGAGGAAGCGGAACGAAGACGGTCAGAACTCGAGGCGGAGAAAGCCCGGCATCATCATCATGGATTCATGGACAAGATTGGAGAAGCGTTTGAAGGCGAAGAAGCTAAGAAGGCGAGGCTGGAAGCTGAGGAGGCAGAACGAAAACGACTGGAGCTCGAGGCAGAGAAGGCCCGACATCAACATCATGGTCTTATGAATAAAATCAGTGAAGCGTTCGAAGGTGAGGAAGTGCGGAAGAAGAGGCTGGAGGCGGAGGAAGCTCAGCGGAAGAGACTGGAGCTCGAGGCGGAGAAAGCTCGACATCACCACCTTCCGCTAGATATGTTCTCAAAGCTAGGACTCGGGAACGAGCCAGTAAATGCAGCTCCGACGAAGGCGAACGAGGAGAGCCTTTTGGACAAGTTGGGATCGCAGATGCATTTATCTGGCGACTCCGCGACTCAAGCGCTCTTGAAGGAGGAGACGTTGGCGGAGAAAATTGAGTCGAGTTTACATCACAAGAGGCCAGAGGACAAGGTGCACCATGGCGGAGGGATATCGGATAAGATTCAGAGTGCGTTGGGAGGTGGGAGTAAAGCTGAGGAGAGCGAAGGTGAGCGCCATACAGTAGAACTCATCTGGATGCTCACATGTATCGATCATACGTATCCTTGTGACAGACGATTTGGATAAAGGTTGGTACGCTGTTTGGGTATCAATGACGTATCTTAAAACTTTTCTTCAAAGCCATTGACTTTGTACAGCACCACATTCTTCGTCAAGGAACGCAGTCGCATGAGACAATTCTCGAGCAGATGAAAGACGAGCAGATTGCGAGGACTATCAGGGCGCAGTATAAGAGTCTTACGGGGCGCGAATTCCCGATGAAGAAGGGCGAAAAACATTGGCACTGAGGAATGAAGGTTGACATCGAAGAATTGAAAGTACGAATGTACGTGTGTACCACTAGTCAAGTACCACTAATTCCATTTGCATCCTTTGCCAACGAAAGCTCGACATTTTGAGACTCGCCGAGCCCAAAAGAAAACTTGTGATCGGCCAAAGTTTACCGCAGTCAAGAAGTTAAGAATTGGACGGAAAGAAGTGGCGTTCATTCGCGGTGCCTGGTGAATACCTCCACTGTATTGCCAGCCTACCCTTCTTTACCTACATAGAAATGCTTGCATGATTGATAGAAAGTGATAGATAGGGCTTGGACAATAGACTCTTGACACCCTCGTCACCTAGACTTCTGTCAAAGTCTCCAAGTCCCGGCCTATTCAATCCTCAACCCAAGGGCTGGGGAGGATT